TGGCCCTTCGTCATTGTACTGTCGGATAGAGCCCGACCCATGCCATTAGGGACGTCACAGTGGTGAAATGTTAACTACCTCGACGGGTATACAGGAGGTCGTGGGTGCGATCCTGACCCTGATGCCTGCTGTATATTTGGAGTTTGCATGTTCTGCCGGTGGTCGCGTGGATTTTTCTCTGGGTCCTCCGGTTTTCCCCTCCACATTTAGAATCTATACGCGTTTAGAGTGTTTGGCTATTGCTATACGTTTCCACATGATAAGCCACTTCGTTGAGCTATCATTTGTGGCCAGGTCGCTTCAGAGAAAGAGCTATGAAGCTTACCTGGTAAAGTGAAAATAGTTTAGTTATATTTCGTCATAGGGGTTGTTATAGCGAGTTGGTGAAGAAGATGCCTGGGAACGATTCATACTTCTCTCACCAGTGATGTTAGCCTTTGCCAAGAATTAATCGCAAGTGAAGGGGTTTATCGTGCAATGAGAGAACCGCTACACTACCACCAAAATGTTTTGCTCACGGTTATTTATTAAAATCTCTTTGAGCAATGTTTATTATTATTATAATTTTCTCAGCGTGTGTCCTGTACAGCGGCAATGCAGCGCCACCAGAGGAAACAGCGGATTGACAAGGGAAGCTGCACTTTTCAGGGGGCTACAATCGCTTTTTTTATGTTTGCCATACGAGGGACAAACTCACGTGCCGTGCAACAGCGTTTCACGCGTAGGGATACATTCCATTTTTTTAAATTTTCCATAACTGGAATATGCCAAGTTAAGGGAGGAATCAAATGTAATAGGTCCAGCCGCTAGTGTCCAAACTGAGACCAATAGGTTCACTGCCCTTGAGAAGCCAGTTTAATTATGGCCGGGTGCCCAGACGTGGAGCCAAGGGTCTCAGCGGTGCTGTCTCAGTGTCTAACGTCGTTGTAAACGTGTGGCCCACCTGGTCACCTCCTGAATCAGGGACTTTGTTAACGAGTGACCAGACGACGCATTGTGCGAGAATTTATTTTCCGATTTAATTTTTGGTATGTTGGTATATAACAATATCGCCGCGGTGGCTAGGAGATGTTAACTACCACGCCTGGTATACAGGAGGTCGTGGATTCGATCCCGACCCTTACGCCTGTATAGTTTGGAGTTTGCGTGTCTCTCTCTCCCCGTTGTCGCGTGGTTCTCCAGGTCCTCCGGTGTTTCTGTCAACGCGCATTCAGAGCATTTGACTGCTGCTATACATTTCCACGTGATAAGCCACTTTGTTGAGGCATCATTCGCGGCCAATGTGGATTCTGAAACATTCCTGCGGAGGGAGCTGGTAGGAACGTTGGGTTGCTTGGTCAATGGCCAGGGTCAACGGCGGCGTGGTGTATTCCGCAAATATGCCCGACTGTGAGGACGGGCACAAGCCGGCGTGAGTAGGTTAAACGTTGAGTTTTATAAGGGCACTACGGGGTAACCAGCCCCTCCCCACCCAGCCCCACCCCTCCCACCCCCCACCCAGCCCCACACTCCCCATCCAGCCCCTCACCACCCTCTCCACCCAGCCCCTCCCCACCCTCCCCTCCCTACCCAGCCCCTCCCTGCATGACGAACGGACGGACACAATAATCGCCTGTGGGCTGGTGTAACCAGGAGGTTCCTACCAGTATAAAATAGTTAATGTAGCTCATTGAGCCTTACCTGGTCAAATAAAAAGTTTCATATATTTGTTATTCATTTACCAATTTTGCTACCTGTATTACGACGAGTCAATTGGGATCTCGGACCCTTCGTGTTGTAGAACGGCTCGCGCAAGTGGATGTCGCAGAACTACATCTCTGATGCCTTCAAGTGTCCTTCGGTGGCGCAATGGGTGGCAGTAGCCTCCTGCCCACTTACCTCAGAATTGTGTTGGCAGGAGCGCATTCTTCCACTGAGGGGGCGGTTTTAATATCGTACAATTTTGCACTACAATTTGGATTTATATAGCGTGTTTTCTTTATTGCGTACGGATTTAAATAACATCTAAATGCAAATGCACCTCAAGGACATTTCGGGAGGGGCATCTTGCCGGACTCAAGTATATTATATTCCTTCCACTTGTTCATAGCAACAACAAAAAAACGTGTCAAATTAATGCACGGTCTTTTCCTTTCTTAAATTAAATTTTTTGTCTACCGGGTTTTCTTAATTGAGTTGCTCCGCATGAATAACGTATTGCGGAGGCCATATACCAACACGTGTGAACGGAACTACGGCCAAATCACACTCCGCGCGGCGGTGGCTACGCGCGTGGCTCGTGATCCGGCGTTGTCGGAGGAGGGCGATGGTTGGCGGATCACGCACACACACACAGACAGGTGTTCATTCTAGATTTGAAGCTTTCGTGACTGCAAGGATTCATACTCTTAGTTCTTTCGGTAAAGTCACAGAGGTAAAAAATGAAATTAAAATTAATAAAAATAAAACAATAAAATCACGACGTTTCGGAGGCAACACAAGTCTCCGAAACGTCGTGATTTTATTATTTTATTTTTTATTAATTTTAATTTCAGTTTGTTTTACCTACGTGACTTCACCCAAAGAACTAAGAGTATGAACACAGACAGGTGTTGACAAAACTTCCCTTCCCGTGAGCGTCGAGGATGTGGCATAACACAGCAAATGTGGACCTCACCCCGTGTCCCTCCCTCCCCCCCCACCCAACTTATTCCATCTGTACGGGATGAAGCGTTTCCATCCCCATAACGTGCGCGGGGTTTTCTCTGGGCGTTCCAGTTTCCTCCCAGGTGCAAACACCCGTTCATTGGGAGAAGAAGAAGAAGAAGCAAATCCCAGCGCTATATAGAGAGGACCGCAGAGCTTGCAGGGGGATTTAGTGCCAGGCTCCCCACGCGCCTTGCTGCCTTCTCCCGCTCGTCTGTGGTTACCTCCTCGCTCCTCCGAGTCGTTCTGTCTCTCTCTCTCTCTTGGAGAGTGAGCGAACACTGTGTGCGCACGTTACAAGTTGTTATAACGTATGAGCTAACCCAAAGTTGTCGTCGGTGGCTGCGGAGCTAGCGTGGTGAGCAATGCAGCAAAAAACAAATCCATTGTTGTACTCTACATCTATACTCGTGCAATCTACGCTCTCTGCATTCGACTAATCCACATATTTGTGGTGTATTCCGCAAATATGCCCGACTGTGAGGGCGGGCAGAAGCCGGCGTGAGTAGGGTAAACGTTGAGTTTTATAAGGGCACCATGGGGTGATCAGCCCCTCCCCACCCAGCCTCACCCCTCCGACCCCCAACCCAGCCCCACCCTCCCCACCCAGCCCCTCCCCACCCTCCCCACCCAGCCCCTCCCCACCCTCCCCTCTCCACCGAGCCCCACCCTCCCCACCCAGCCCCTCCTCACCCTCCCCTCCCCACCCAGCCCCTCCCTCCCCACCCAGCCCCTCCCTGCACGACGGGCACAATAATCCCCTGTAGGCTGGTGTAACCAGGAGGTTCCTACCAGTAGAATAAGTCAATAGATCAGTGGGCTTTGCCTGGTAGGATGGGGATAGTTTAGTTTCATTTTTATACGTGTTGGGTGATTTGTTTACCTTTCTTGTACATTACACTACTGTCGTGTTTTTCGAATGTTTGTTCTTGTAGCGTTCTTACCCCGTGCCCCTACTGGACATCTGCGAACAAGAGCTTTCCGGCTCATCGGATTCCTCCAGCATACATATTCAGAATCTTGATTCTGATCGCGGCCACCCCCTGAGATGATCATGTAGTCATTACGCCACCGGTGCAAAGGGAACGCGTTTCAAAGCCTGGGTGCTGCGCCGGCACAAAAAAAGGGGCTCGGGAATGAGCTTTGACCTGGGGAGTAGTAGCACTTCTCGAAGTAGCGGTTTGTATAACCATACTTCATCACACTGGTCAGCGCAGGTTGGTTGAAGGGGAGGACGGGGGTAGGTGTGCAGAATGACTGTTTCAGGCAACCTCCTCGCCCCTATTAACCGTGGCCAGGAATGCAGCCCAGGTCTTTTGGGTTTATAGTGCGAGGTGTTTAAGTGCTCCGCCACCACATCTGCCCTGTAATTAATGTATTTAATCGTGCATTGCTTTGAAGTATGGATTTTCTTCACTGGGCACATACAGTAAATACACGTGGTTTATTTTTACACGTGGCTGCTTGAGCATTACTGCCTGGCCAGTGAGAATGTTTTGCTAATATAAAGATGTGTCATTCTAAATCGATGGAAGCTTCTCATAGCTTTTAGCCACTGTGGTGCAATTACCACAGTAGCTTCTGCGGTGAACATGTACGGTGTGTGTGTGTTTGCCAATAACACAGGCAGGACTACGAGAAGAAAGACGCAATAAACGACTTAAACATTATTGTTTTGCTTCATCGAGGGAGACAAAATCGGTGGGCTTTGCGAGTGATTCGGTGGCAGCAAATGCGCGTAAATGTTGAACTTTTTTCGCACCCCACGTAGCCAGCCGTGCTAATAGGAGGTGTGGGGGGCAAGGACAGGATGGGATGGTGGCAGGTGGGTGAGTGGATAACAACGCTGTGGCGTTCAAAGGTCGCACTCATTTAAAGTCGCGCTCATCACACACAAAGCGCTTGCCACAAATGAACCGCGATACTCAGCTGCTGCTGATGATGATGATAGTTCTAGATTTGAAGCTTTCGTGATTGCAAGGATTCATACTCTTAGGTTTTTTTTCAGTAAAGTCACGTAGGTAAAAATTTAAAATTAAAATTAATGAAAGTAATAATAGAAATAAAATAATAAAACATCACGACGAGACTTGTGTTGCCTCCGAAACGTCGTGATTTTTATTATTATTTTACTTCTATTATTACTTTCATTAATTTTAATTTTTTTTACCTACGTGACTTTATCGAAAGAAAAAAATACCCTAAGAGGACGATGACAATCTCAGGGGCATGGACATGCAGCCGGGCTGAGGACACACATCGGGCAGACATCGCGCATCGCCGGCAACAACAACGGCCGCGCCACGGACACTCACCGTGATGGCCGCAGCCAGTCCGGCCGTGTTGCCCCCCCGCTGCCTCGTCCCCCTCCTCCTCCTCCTGCTCGTTGTTGATCACCATCGTGTTGAGCTCGCTGCTCAGCAGCCCGGCCCCGTGCTCCGCGTCTGATCGAGCGGCAGCCGTCGCGGTGGCCGTGCCCGCCCCAGTGACCACCTTCCTCGGAGTGGCACCGCCCGCGTCCATGACACCGCCCTTGACCGCCGTGCGCACCATTGTGCGGCCAACGTCGTCATCGTCGTCGTCTTCGTCGTCGTCATCGTCTTCTTCCTCGGCCTTGGTCGTCACAGACAAGAGAGGCAGCAAGGAGTTATGATGCTATAGACTTTGTTTTGTTGTTGTTTTACCAGGCGGAGAGGTCCACTAAGCTGCGTGGTTTTGTGTTTTTTTCTTTTACAGAAGCGACCCGGCTACAAACGATCGGTCGGCGAAGTGGCTTGTCTTCGGGTGGAAATTTACAGCGGGCAAATACTCGCAAAACGCGTGATCTTGATTCTAAATGTGGAGGGGCAAAAAAAACCCCTGAGGATCCTGGAGAAAAATACACGTGACCACGGGGAGAACATGCAAACTCCAAATATCAGAATCAGAATGTTTAATTATACTGGAGGAAACTGATGAGCTATGAAGCAAAATTTTTGTACAGATGTCCAGAAGTCACAGATGTCCACTAGACGCCTGTCCATATATAGGCGCCAGGGTCGGGATCGAACCTACGACCTCCTGTATACCACGTGGGTCACCCATCCCCTCCCTTCGAACCCTTGCCACTCAAGTTCCTATTTTATGGCCTCAACCAGAAGGAGCTATGGGAGAGCCGCTCTAGAAGATGTTTTGGTCTTTGCCCTGCCACGTTGGCCGGACGTTGTGGAAGAGGTGCAAGCGCCCACGCTTTACCCCACCACGCGGCACGAAGAGACCTGCCGATCGTCCCAAACCAGCGTGCTGCATTGCAAGGCCCGCGTGCCACTGGCTGCCCCTGGTGGCCTTTAGCGCGGCCCCTGACTTGCTGTCAAAGGCAATGGTTTCAAATGTGTGGTGGCGGCCGTCACATTGATGATGTCTTATTGGCAAAAGTGCCCCCCCTTCTGAAGATTATTGAAGATCGCCGGTCTCAACTGTGGTCAACCCATTTGTACTTCTGGGTGGACAGAGGGCAGTGGCAATTTAATCAACTCTGCAACCGTTGTTTTAACTGCCGCGCCTGGAGATCGAAGGAAACTGTCGACCTCTGGATTGCAAGTCCAGTGCTGAGCTGCGACTAATTAAATGAGCCGTGGCTAATTAAATCAGATCTGAGCTGTGGGCTAATTCATAATATTTTTGCATCATTTACTTCGGGTTTTACAAGTTGATCCAGCACAGCAACTGTGCTGGGTCAACTTGGAACCTCAAATACCAAGCAGGTCCGACCCTTCACTCAAACCACGCTCCTCTCCAGGGGTCGGCAACCCGCGGCTCTTTAAGGAACCGTTTCATGACAGTTTTTTTTTTATTAAGGACCACCGCCGTCTGAAATTCACCACAGTGCATTGCGGGCTCTTGAAATATTGACAGGTTTTTTTGTTTTTACCGAATATAAAAAAAATGTTATCTTGTTATGTTAGTTGTTGAGCCCTGCCTGTGATCCTAGACCTACGGAAGCTGTGATTCGTGTCCATCATCGCAGTCGACGACAAGCAGCCACCAAGGTAGAACTGCAGGTGGCAGCATTAGCCAGCGTTTGGCCGCTAAACAATTCGTGCATCCATACTCGCAAGCCACGTGCGTGTGTGTGGAATGCCAAAGGTTACATGCGGGTGTTCAGTTACGGTAACTTTCAAAATGGCAATCTAAGATGCGTGTATCTGTCTCTCTGCACACGTAAAGGTCTTCCAAGCAGGTTTAAAAAAATATATAATCTAACAAGAGCTCTTAGCATGATATCCACAATCTCGTTATGCGATTATTTCCATCCTCCACGCTTTACTCATTTCGTATGTATGTTGAAACTTCTTTCGCATCGTACGTAGCCAACCGTGCGATCGCATACTTCTTTATCTCATCCCAGGCACACCCCCCCCCAATCCCCACTCCTCCTCTACTCCTCCTACAACCTCCTTATTCTTGGACATGGCTATGTTCCATTAGCAATAATTATACATTTCGATTTTAAGCTTTCGTGACTGCAGGGATTCATCTTCTTGGTTCTTTCGGTAAAGTCGTGAGAATTGTATTTTATGTTTTATTTTTATTATTTTATTATTTCCCTTCTACGTGACTTTACCGAAAGAACCAAGAAGAATAATTATACAACTAAATATATCTGCTGAAGTTAAGCACTTCCTCGAAGGCCGGGTTGCTGATGGGATGTGTCAAGAAATACCTTTAAATAGTTTTACATTTCGGCACAGATATGCTATCGTCTGCTTATTTCAATTTTCACGTGTTCCCCACAATGGAGCTGTTGCATATTTTCGCTTAATACATGACAGAGTTTCGCATCGAACTAGGACACATAACTGTGGAGCTCATCTGTCTAACACGGAGCAAGTTTCACGGGCATCTCACCAGCACTGGTTGCATGCCAGCCTGACTCTGTTCATGAGACGCTGAATCTCAAAACCAGTGCAGAGTTCACTTGCGTTTGAACTGAAGCAATGGTGATTTAAACAAAAATTAGGTACTCCCAGAAGGCCGTGCAGCTGATGGGATGTACAACAACAAGAAATACGAGACAGATGTGTGAAGTAGGGGCGCATCGTCGACTTATTTATCCCGCAACTTATATTCTCCACAAAGACGCGAATGGCGATTTTGTCCAAATCTAAATTTAGGTTGTTGTTTTTTTTTGCGGCAAACATAGCGGGTGTCAGGTTTACGCCGAGCGGAGACCGTCATTCTATTCCTCCATCGAAAGATCGGGGTGGAAGGGGGGGAGGGAGCAGATGATTGCTCCGTTGTTTGTGTTCAGCTGCCACAGTCGCAACTCTGGGTTACTCCTCCCTCGGTGTTATTTTCTGGAATATTTGCTGGTTTATCCAGAATGATTCTGTTCAAGTTCAAGTTCATTTATTAGGTATAGCCCTGTGAGCCATGCGGCTCTTGAATCGGGTGCAACCGCAACAAACAAAAAACAAAAACATGAACAAAAAACATCTTAAAGTGAATATGTGACTGAGTGCAAACAGAAAATCCAAGAAAAGACAGCAAAATATTGCAGAAAAAAACACTGTACACCAACGCTGTGTGCAAAAATCCCAGCGGGATGCGCGTCGTCACTTTAAGATGTTCTCTGCTCATATTTTGTTTGTTGCGGTTGCACCTGACTGAAGAGCCGCATGGCTCACAGGGCTATACACCTAATACATGAAACTTGAAATTAGAAAACTTAATCATCCACCTCAGCCACCTCATCCACCCTGCCTCCACCCCCCACCTAAACTGAAGCTAAACTAAACTTTTAATTTTTCGATTTAAAGATTTCGTGACTGCAGGGATTCATCTTCTTGGTTCTTTCGGTAAAGTCACGTAGAATGGAAATAATAAAATAATAATAAAACATAAAATATTTTTTTTATTATAAAATATTAAAAATAAAACATTATAAAATAATTATTTTATTGTGTTTAATTTTTATTATTTTATTATTTCCATTCTACGTGACTGTAACGAAAGAACCAAGAAGACAAACTTTTATATATTTTGTATTTTACCAGGTAAGGCCCACTGAGCTACATACCTCTTTTTGAGAAGGGACATGGCCCCAAATGATTAGGGGCCGTCCATAAATGACGTCACGCGATTTTGGACGATTTTTGACCCCCCCCCCCTCGTCACACGGCGTCACAAAAAGTCAAACCCCCCTAAAATATGACGTCACAAAGCTCTGCCCGCCCCCCCCCCCAAATAAAACATGCTTCAAATCGCTTTAAACTACAGTCATTGTAGTGCGTATTTAATGTGGCGCTGCACTCTGATGTTGTAGGAGAAAACATTTATTAAAAAGTCTATTTAATAAAGTAGAACGTGTTGTCTATATTTATTTAAAGTTGCGCATTTTGATGTGACGTCACATTTCTCAACCCCCCCCCCCCCCTCGTCACACATTGTCACAAATGTCTGCCCTCCCCCCTAGGTGCGTGACGTCATTTATGGACGGCCCCTTATCACGTGGACATCTCGAGCAGCCGAATGACTCTGAACTCACGTCGCTTCTAAAAGTGGAGGGAAAAACCGGAGGACCTGGAGACAAATCCACTCCACCACTGGGAGAGAGAGAGACGCAAACTCCAAATATACAGAGGTCAAGGATGGCATCGAACTCACGACCTTCTCCATACCAGGCGAGGGAGTTAACATCTCACCACCTTCTCCACACACACACACACACCCCGCCTGCCCCTCCTCATACCGAGTTGTCCGAGTCTGCGACCTGGTCGGCTTGCAGAGGCTCGTTGCGTTTCGGCTTCATCGCCATAGCCTCGGTGATGAGCTCGCGCAAGATGCTCACCGGTTTGGCCGCCACGATGAACGGGTGCTGTGGAAAAAGAGCACACGCACTGGGTGGTGAGAGAGGCATGCGTGCGCAACGGCGGCACGGTTGCCACCTAACCGCTGGGTTTCCTGGGACGTCAATTTTTTGTTGTTGTTGAGGTCGTAGCAAGTCATTGTGGAAATCTGTCAGTCTTCCCGGAGACATTAGAAGTCCCGGGTTGTGTCAGATGTGTGATAACGCAGCAATGGAAGACAATGCATTGCCATATGGTGCTCTCGTCTTTGGGTATGGTGATCTGTTCTCATTACCGCGGTATGTCCTGGTTTTTGTACCTCCGAGGTGGCAACCTAAATGTGGTAAAGGCGTTTACGCTGCTGAGATTCATCTGCGCAGTTTTGCCCGCAGTTGTTGTTGAACGGTTCATTTCTATACGGTTCGTGAAATTGTTTTGACCACTTGCGTACAAGTGTTCTGAATTGCTTTGTGACCCCAAGTAATTCCTTAGGCCCTCACCTGGTTTTAATAAAGATTGATGATGATGATGATGAAATCAAAGGCAAGGAATTCCCAGGTTTGTTAATCTATCTCGGTTCTCCAGCAAGGCACGCAGAAGCAGCACAGCCCCAGGGCTCTCCCACTACCGTGATCATGTTGATTACGAATCCAGGGCTGGATTGCGACCTTGGGAAATTCAAACAAGGGCAGTAGCATTGCACACTTGGCATGGGTCCGATACCCCCACCTCTCTTCGTAGCTTTGACGCTTGCACACCCCCCTCCCCCCCCCCCCCCCCTTGAGTCCATGAGTCCCAGTGCAGTTGCATCGCCTGCGCACTCGATTGCTACGCCACTAAACAGAGGCTCAATTACCCAGCAGTCAGAAGCGGCTGCGGTCTGTGGGTTCTGCATGGGGCTTCCAAGGTCGGGGTTAGAGGTAGTGGCAGTCTCGTGAATTATTGCCCTGGCCCAGCGCCCAGACATTGGAATGGCACTCGCATCAGCTGAGAGCCACTCTGAAAAATTAGGGGGCAGCTGGAACCTGACCTGCTGAAGTCCATAAGATACACTTGTTTACGATCTATACGATGACTTGTTTTTCCATCTTCCAAGTCAGCAGGGTTGGCATGGACCCTGGTGCACAAAACGAAGCGGCGGGTCTCCGTTGTACAATTGTCTCAATCTCTTCATCGCCTGGGGGGCCCCGGGCTATCGAGTGTGCCGCGCCACTGTGGCCAGCCTCGCGCTTTGCGGAGGAGGGGTTCGCCTCCGGACAAAGCCGTCAGCGTGGGCGGAGTTCTCTCCCTCGCTCGCGTGTCCCGTCCGGCGCGCCATGTGACCGTGGGCACCTCCCGAGGTGCAACATCCACGGCGACATAACAGGGGAAGGTGGATATCTCGCGGTGCCGAGAAGAGGAGGAGGTGGTGGTGGTGGGGTGGGGGGACTAGACGAAAAGCGTAGTGCTGGGCGGGTGTGTCATCACGCAACTGATAAACAGCACGACTTAAAAAAAAACAAAAAAAATGTCGCTGGGAGAGACTCACAGGTTTTGCACGTAATCGTGGGCAAACCAAGCCGGGTGGCATCCCTGGATGGGCACCCACGACCGCCCGCCCACCCCCCCCCCCCCCAAAGTGAACAAACAACTCCTGGCGCAGTCCCAGTCACCGTGACTCGCCCGACCGGCCTCCGATCTCCGGACATCCTCGGGAACGTCGAACAGCATCAGGCGGCCGCTCCGGCGAGCGCTCGCCGGACAACCGCCAGCAGTCGGTAAAACATCCGGGAGCGGATTTTTTTTTCTCCCCATTTCATAAACGATCTCTGCCGCAGCAGCTGACTTTGACATAGGAGGCAGTAGGCAACTGCTCCCTGGGTGCCGCGGATACATTTCCCAAAATCACTCCGGCAGATACAGAACCCCAACACTGCTGCCCTGCTTCGCATTAGGAACGGAACGCGCTTTCTGCCGTGCGCTGGCAACGAGCGATGTTTTTGTGGGGTTCCGAATGAGTTTTTTCCTCCGTGTGTATGCGTAGTTCTTTTTTGTTTGTTACGGTCTTGTGCCTGCGGACGACCGTCAGATGGATACGAATCCGCGCTCATCTTTGGGACGCTTCTCAAGGCCCCGTGCCAATCTTACGCACGTGCGCAGGGTGGCATTTTGCTCCAAGTGAATTTTTTGCGCGAATAACGCGACCCGCTTTGGAAGTGCCGCGTAAAAAAACGTCGTTGTCATCGGTGGCTTTACGCGGGGATGTGCAAAATATTCGCTTTTTTACGACCGGATTTAGCTCGGGGGGAATGAAAATGAAGAGAATTAAACAAAGAGTTTTAGGGGTATGGAAAGAAGCGTGGCGAGATGCATGCTGGGAATTGCAACAACGATACAGAAAGAGGGACACGTGGGTCAGAGAACAAATGAAATTAGGGACATCATATTGACATCGAACACGATTGTGGCAGGATGTCGCTCGAACCAACGATGGCTGATAGGCCAGGACGGATGATGGAAAGCCAGCCAGATTTGCGACGACCATGGAGGGTGAAGCGATGACATCGGCCCTTGTAGCCGAAGCGAGATGGTCCGTGGCATCAGAAAGCCGCTAGGGAGGGTGACAACGTGACGGGCCCATTCGTCCAGCAATGGACTCGTCGTGGTCGATGACGATGATGATGATGACGATTTAAGAGGGTTGGTGGAACAAGCTTGAATGTTGATTCAGTGCAGTTGTCTAATAACACTTCATCGACAAAACCTGTCATACAACCACGTACATTTGGTTCTCAGCAACGGCGTTTCTCTTGCTGAACGTATATTTACAATGTATACACAACAGCAACAACAGCAGCAGCAAAAACACTGCCGTTTTATAAACGAAAAATGGGAGTAATATATAATATGTATCACAGTAATTTGTAAGCCTTTATTTATCCACTGCTGGATGAAGGCCTCCTCGTGCGGCACCGATCACGGAGGCTGTTAGACCGCAGTGCCCCACTCTGAACCGCTTAGCGGGTTGATGATCATCGAATGGGGGGGGCTCGAACCGACTCGGATATCACTCGGCACCAGAGTTAGCGTTGGCAGGGAATCGAACTCGGGGTTCTACGTTCATGGCATATTGCCCAACTACCCATTACGTCACATGCTCCCCCGTCAATAACAACAACAACAACGTGTTGTGAGTCAGCATCAGCACGCCGCTGATTACGTTGTGAACCGCAGCTATCCACGTGTGCCATTGCTGGCTTTGATATGTGCATGCTTACAGCACTAAACAGCAAACCGCAGTAGACTTGACATCGAACTCTGGCCACGGCTAACATCAGTGGCGAATGACGGTGTCAGAACTTGTGTGGTTTGATTGGGGGGGGGGGGGTGGGGGCTATTTCTTGGGTCGCCCTAACCTCGAAAATGAGCGGCGTGGTGCGGTTTAAGCTCTGCCCCCCCCCTCCCTCCCCCCAAAAAACGTGCTTCAAATCGCTTTAAACTATTGTCATTGTAGTGTGTAATTATTGTGGCGCTGCACTCTGATGCTGATGTTGTAGGAGAAAACGTTTATTAAAAAGTAAATTTAATTAAGTAGAACGTGTTGTCTATATTTATTTAAAGTTGCGCATTTTGATGTGACGTCACATTTCTCAACACCAACCCCCCCTCGTCACACATCGTCACAAATGTCTGACCCCCCCCCCCCCCTCAGGTGCGTGACGTCATTTATGGACGGCCCTTTATACTGGCCTTAGGAAGTGCAACACGGGAGGGCATTTTGTTCATTCTCATCGCCATCGAACGCTGTCTCTCCCGCTCGAGATGAAACACATGCCGCTTGTCGGCACTTCGAGATCACACGATAAACTCATTCAATCGATCTCGATGCGTGCGTGCATCCGTGTATTGTGCGGTGCAAAGGGGAGATTCAATTACAGATACCCCCACCCAAAACAGCAGGGGGCAAAATTACCGCGACAAATAATTGGAGCTCAAAGCCTCGCCATCCCCGAAACACGCTTACTGATTATAAATTAAATGCAATATCTGAGCCATTAGGAAAAAAAAACTGTCTGGGAATCTGTAAACGGATCGCGATGTTCAAGAGTGGAGCACGCGCCGACGGAGAGGGCACACGGCTGCCGAAATAACGCCGATCCGGCTTGCTCCCATAAATCTGCGCCATGTCCTGGCCTTGCTTGCGAGCCACCGAGACGAGCGAACGTGAAAATGCGGGTGGAGGGGTGGTGATGGAGAGGGGGGGGGGTCCTACTCTATATCACTGCTTTGTGTCAGGAGGCTTGGGAAGGGCTGCCGACTTCCCCCGTGAATGAGAGTGATAAATCTGTCTGCGGGCCCCGGTCGGCCCCGAGCAGCTCACAGACGCTCCAAACACCCCCCACCCCCCCACGCTTTCCACCACCACCACCACGTGAAACATCAGCTCCCCTCTTTCTCACCACCATCACCACCACCACGTAAAACATCAGCTCCCCTCTTTCTCACCATCACCACCACCACGTGAGACATCAGCTCCCCTCTTTCTCCCCATCACCACCACGTGAGACATCAGCTCCCCTCTTTCTCCCCATCACCACCACCACGTGAGACATCAGCTCCCCTCTTTCTCCCCATCACCACCACCACGTGAGACATCAGCTCCCCTCTTTCTCCCCATCACCACCACCACGTGAGACATCAGCTCCCCTCTTTCTCCCCATCACCACCACCACGTGAGACATCAGCTCCCCTCTTTCTCCCCATCACCACCACCACGTGAGACATCAGCTCCCCTCTTTCACTCCATCGCTCTCTCTCTCCCGTGTAGCCTGAGCACCCACGCCCCAAACCCCCTTCCGTGGGGGGGGGGGGGGGGGGCTGTATTCCATCGTTTGCATTGCGTCGTTGGCGCATGCCACGCGAGTGCATGCACCCCCGCCCCCTCCCCATCTTATCTACTGCTGGATGAGGCGCCTTCCGGTTGCCAACTCACTGAGGTCCAAAAAAAAAAAACTTGCGAAAATATCGCGGGATGATGAAGAGTATCTCACAATATTGGAGGAGGGAAGACCCACAAATGCTTTGTCTTCAGTCGTCGTTGTAATGGACGTAACCTGGATGGGTGGAGGGGATCTCTGTCTTTTGACGCCCACCGCAGCTTGGAGCTAACGTGTGGATGTTCATTACATGGCAGCATAAATTGATGCAATTTATTAAATCTAGGGGCCGTTATTTAACAAGGCAAACAGCAGATGAAGAATCTCTCTCATTGCGAGAGAGAGGAACCTGCAATGAATAGCGCGCTGCGCAACGAACTCGACGATTCATTATCTGAACCGCTCATGGGCCCTCCCCTAGGTCGACTCAGCCTCAAATGAGTACCTGGTGCGGTGTGTAAAAACAACATTGCTCCCTCCCGTGCTGTGCCGCTCTTCATAGGCGCTCGCTAACAGCACCTGTCCCAAGAGTCTGTCAAGGCTACACGGGGGATCTTTGTCTTTGTATGTCTCCACTCGAATGAGCTCAGTCAGGTACCATTGGCTTACTCTTTCAAGGTGGCCGGACATCTCTGGAAGAGGAAGGAGTGACCACACTATTCGACCCGCCGATCGATTGACCGATAGATACAAAAAAAATAACCCGTAAAAACAAAGTTTTTCACTATAAATTCTTTATATGCGTGGCGGCTAGAGTCCTCTCGTCCTCTGGCTTGAGATGGCTGCCACCTATGGGTCAGATGATTGCATGCCAGCATTAAGCAATTGGTAATTAAATATAATATTTTTGTCCTAAAAAGTGTAAAATTTTGGAGAAAAAATTCACGAAAATTAATTGTCACGCACAACGAGTCTGTGTGGAAAATGTCAGCTCGATTGGATCACGGGAAGTGGGTTAAAAAACGACCGAAAGATTTGCTCGGTCGTAAGCAAGCAAGCACGCAAGCAAGCAAGCATGCGAACTTAATATAAAGGATTTAATAAAGGATTTCAAAAGGAGAGACATCCCCCGGGTCATTTCAGGTGCAACCACGCGTGTTTTTTTGATCGCACCTGAAGTGACCCAGGTCAGCGGCACTGCTCACTTTTATGCTGCTTCCCTTACACAGCCCCCCCCACTTACCCCCCACTTCTTTCTGTGCCGCGTGGCGCTTATGCGGCTTTGTTTTACTGTGCCGGGCACGGTGAGCGCAGCCATGCTCGGCACCGTTTACGGCGTTCAAAGTGTCACCGATACAGCCCCTCGGAGAGCACACACACACGCGCGCACACACGCACACACACACACGCGCACACACACACACGCACACACGCGCACACACACACGCGCACACACACGCACACACACACGCACACACGCGCACACACACACGCACACACACACACGCACACACACACGCACACACACACGCACACACACGAACACGCGCACACACACACACGCGCACACGCATGAACACACACACACACACGCACACACACGCGCACACACACGCACGCACACACACACGCACACACACACGCACACACACGCGCGCACACACACACACAGGCACGCACACACACACGCACACACGCACACACACACACAGACACACACACGCACACACACACGCGCACACACAAGCACGCACACGCACACACACACACGCACACACACGCACACACGCACACACACGCACACACGCACACACACACACGCACACACACGCACACACACACGCACACACACAAGCGCACACACGCGCGCGCACACGGCGACAGCTGATCGGCGCAATAGCCCAATAACCGATGGACGAGCGTCAACTCGCCCCCCCCTCGCCCCCGCTGTGTCCACCACCATCACCGCCACCACCCCCCTCCGTGCACACGTGAGCGCGCGTGAGCTCCTCATGGGCAGCGGTGGCACAGAGGTGAGCGCGATGCGCTACGAACTCTCGGCGGGCCCGAGTTGGGGTTTTTTCCGGCGCCGCTGCTGACGCCGGTTTGCGTGAGTCGCACCTTAAACCGTCCTGGGGCCTCCGCTAGGTCGACTTAGCCATAGTGAAGTGTCTAGTGCGGTGTGTTAAAATAGTAGCAGTGGGGAGACAAAGGTGGCTGAGCGTGATGTTTGGCCACACCACTCCGTCGTGTGCCGTATCGAACTTCATAGGTGGCCCGCTAAGAGCTCGTGCCCCAACAGCCAGTAATGGCTTCAAAGGAGGTTTATCTTTTGTAAACCGCAGATAGCCTCCGTCACCGTTTTACCCACAGACCCAGATACAGACCCAGTCCCGAGACCCAACTCTAGGTGCAGACCCTCGTTACGATACAATCCCAAGGTCCAGAAACCACCTTGACACTTCACAGGTATAGGGCATTTGAGTAAACACCCTCCAAGAGTAATGGAAAGCCTCCTCTGAATTTTAGAATCATCTCTCTTGATTAATATGTACGTCAGATGTTTTAGTTTCCAGATACATCACTGCGTCCCCTGCTCACACGAGCGTTGGATTCATGGGATGACTTTCTGAATATGGTCCCTAATTTTATCCACCTCTCATGGATGATGGGCTGAGACAAACCTTTGACAACACTTGAACTCAGAGGCTACCGAGTGTAAGTTGGTTGTTTGGCAACACGGATTTGGGATCTCCATGGCCACGATTTTTGTGCGAGTTAAAGAGATTTGTGACACATGGGGCGAGTTTGGAAAACATCCGAAAATAGGATCACAGAGCTTGGGCAACTGTTGGTGCCGGTTCCAACTGCCTGTGGTTGCCCCCACCTCTGAATTAATTTTCCACCTATCCCTAAGGAAGTGAACACAAACTATCCTCGTTATGAATTCCACATTTTTGTCAAATGGCAGCAATTGTTGCTAAAGTATGCATGTATGTACGTTGTATGTATGTATGTTGAACTTCTTTCGCACCGTACTGATCGGAGGCGAGCTCCTTCCTAACCCTAGGGCCCCTTCCTGCCAACATTGGCGTGAAACGGCAAATGCGCTTTCACTTTCACCGTTTTTATCCGATGGCCGTTTTGCACCGGGTACCTGCAGCAGCTGGGTGGCCGTGGACCTCTGCTCCGGGTTCTTCACCAGGCACTTCCGCACGAAATCCACGAATTCGTCCGTCCAGAGCTCCAGCTGCCGGAAGGTGGGTGGCGGGTTGGTGGGTATCATGAAGATGGCCTGCGGGAGTCAAGAGTTGCAGCACGAGGCGCGCACGTTCGATCTATTGACGAAAAAAAGTTAGAAATAGTTTAGTAGGCTTTCGCGAACCAATATTAGCAATAATATAGAGGGTTTTTTTGTTTGTTTCTTGTCTTAGATCGCGTATGGCTACATTAACCCCCCCGCCCGCCACCACTCTGGGCTTCGCACCTGATTGAACCACAGTGATGACGTCACATTTACTCCCACTCTATTTAATGATCGAAGATCGAAACAGGAGGAGGATTTCCCCGCAACTCTGGCTGTCGCCTGATGATGCCGGCTGCAAATCACCGGCGAAACGTCAGGATTTACTCGAATTGTAAACGTTGTGGGTCTATACTGTTTGGTTTTTTCGGTAAAGTCACGTAGGTAAAAAATATAAAATAAATTAAAATGAAAACAAATAAATTTAACCGCTACGTTTCGTAAGCAACACGAGCAACCGTCATCAGGTGTTGACAGCTCCAGCAAAAATTACTGAAGCGTGTGTTGCTTCCGAAACGTCGTGATTTAATTTATTTGTTTTCATATTAATTTATTTCATATTTTTTACCCACGTGACTTTACCGAAAAAACCAAAGAGTATGGATCCTTGCAGTCACGAAAACTTCAAATTTAGAATTAAGTTGTGGGTCTACTCTCCAACACACCGGGTGCGCTGAACTAGTAACTGATTGCCACGTTTTGTTCACGGGACAAACCTTACACGAATTTGCTGTGTCGGGTTTAACGATACATTCATGTTTAGGCGATCTAAGCCACCGTCACGACGCTGAATGTGGTTTGCCGACTGTGCCGTGAGAACCTCGCGGGCCGATGTTGGTGTTCGGTCGGGGTTAACAACCGGCACTGAACCGGCACGGGGAAAGTACGGTCAAGTTACTGTTAAACAACTTGTCACCGTGACGAAACGGGGTGTGGTTTGGCCTTTATCTAAGAGTGAATTGGCAAGGGACTTTATGTATGTAATTGATTTTTTATAACAAAAACAAAACATATTTTATACTCTGAAAAGATAAATGCATTTCACTTGGTATCGGATTCACTAAGAGTTTGAGTATATTTTGTATTGTTTTAAAAAAAACTATTGAGAAAAAACAAAACGATTGTAAGAAAGTCAAACACTTTCATCAGTGAGCATTCTGGCACTGGACATACCAGGCTCGCAGGTCAAAGTTGCAGCGGGTGACTTTCTGTGTTCATAACTCAGAGTATAAAACATATTTTATATATACATATTTCATAACTCAGAGTATAAAACATATTTTATACTCTGAAAAGAAAAATGCATTTCACTTGGTATCGGATTCACTAAGAGTTTGAGTATATTTTGTATTGTTTTAAAAAAAAATTATTGAGAAAAAACATAACGATTGTAAGAAAGTCAAACACTTTCATCAGTGAGCATTCTGGCACTGGACATACCAGGCTCGCAGGTCAAAGTTGCAGCGGGTGACTTTCTGTGTTCATAACTCAGAGGAGGGCCGAGAGACGACGAGATACCGACTGTCACCCAAGTGCATGACCATGAGTTGAACTTTGACCTCTGGTATTATAGTGCAGTGCAGTAACCACCCCGTCAGACGTGTATGGTTGTGGGAAATTACTGTTTAACTACAAAGTTGACTATATCACACTACACTATGATACCTCCTTTACCAGTGGCAAAATATAGTAATAGGTTTTTACCCTTTCAACTGGTACAAAAACTGACACCTTTATACAAGGCATCATGTTTGCAATAACCACAACGAGCTCTAAATACGTTGATAGTGCGCTGTCTTTGAGTTGTACGCCTTTTGGCGTCATCTGGTCCAACACCAATGGAGACTAGGCTCTAAGAAAAGCTGTCTCGGGTGTGGACCAATCAACTTCAAGGACAGTGCATATCATTATCATCATCAGAGTCGTTTCTTTTTGTTTGCATTTTGACTGCTTGTGTTGTGGTTATTGCAAACATGATGCCTTGTATAAAGGTGTCAGTTTTTGTACCAGTTGAAAGGGTAAAAACCTATTACTATATCACACTACTATGCTAAATCATCTATGCCTGAAGTTTGCTGCCTGGCTGCTGGCTGGGCTCCTTTGCTACCGAACCTAGCTGGGTAAATTGATACACGGGACTTTCCGTGGAACAAGTAAACACCCGATTGAAGTTAAACTCCGGAAGAAGTTCAGAAGATGTACAATCGCGACACCGAAGAGGTGGGAGAAACGAATGCAGAAGACTAACCCACACGGTCAATTTAAAATCGCTCCAACTTTTCGATATGTGCTTCTGTTAATGCAATTCTTTCGCCAGAGCATTCTTTAAATCCGAGAAAATAACAAAAATATCCTTACAATAGACGTTATATATTATCTTGGCAGTTTATTACGTCTAAAAGCAGGTTACACTGAGTACTCCGAGTACAAGATTGTGAGATGAGCTTCAAAATGACAGCGGTATCTTATTTTCCATTGGAGAGTGAACTTGTTGATGAAAAAAAAAAAACTTTCTTTAAATACCATCTCTGGGTTTTTCCAGATTGCACGCATCAAGATGCGTGTCCAATAGATTTGATGTCAACTGCAGGGAAGGCAGTTTTAGTTATTTCTTTTTATTTTAAAAAGTTGGTTTTAACATCTCAAAAAACGCGTCTGAAGTCGGCTGCTTTTGAACGACACCGTTAGCACGCGTTCATTCGCGTGCGAGTCGCGAGCGTTAGCGCGTAACCCGGCATACAAAACACGCTCGTTTCGAACGTTAAACGCGAAACGCACTGAAAATGCCTAAAAAAGAAAATCTGAAACAGTTAAGCGCCACGGCAGAAACGAACAGCGGTCCGAGCAACTTGCACAAGAAGCGGCGGGTTTCCGTGTTTTGGCTCCGCGTTTCTACATCGGAGGTCATTTTGTTCGAAATCGCGCCACGGCATCGACCTCGTCGATACATAATAAACACAAAACCTCCTCCTCCTCACTGCTCCCGTGTCATCGACTGCGCGCTTCCTTTGACCGATGGGAGCTGCACGAATCCGCCCCCCGCCGCCTCCGAGGGCACCAATAAGGCGGCTTGTGTTGATACCGGTGGGGTGTGACCTTTGGCTAAGGGAACAAGCCCGGTTTACAGCAGTACCATCCACACACAAGGCCACGTTCGAATCTTATCTGCGGCGCGAGATGCACTATCATTCAATAAGATAAACTTGAAAGGTTTATCCGATCGCGCCCACGTTAGAGTGACGGGTGTAAATGTTTGCGGCCTGCTTTGTGTTGAACAGACAAAGCACACTTAAACTCGCTTCTCCGAGGTGCACCCACAGCGAGACGGAGTCTCGAATTGAGATTAATTTCCACGGACCCGCAAACAGACGGCCGGTCCATCCTCGGGCAGGTCCACCGCCAGCATCATTAAACTTTTAAAAATAGTGTCATTTACGGCGTTCTGTTGCACAACGCTTCGATGTTAAAAGTGTTGGGTAAAAAAACAGAAACGATTCTGCCCGCCAGGCGACCTGGGTTCAAATCCGGACAGCTGCCCGTGGTTACAACCGACTTCTCGAATGTGCCGCGTCGATGGTCTCGATGACTGCGCACCAAAACAAAACAAAAAGGCCGTCACTAAGTTTGGCTTTGCACTTCACTTGGATGAATGCCGGCTCTGAGAGTTCCAAGTAGACACTGGTTCGTCGCGCAGAGAACATCTCTCTCGGGGTCAGTACGAAAGTGCATCACCGCCCAGTGCGCGGATCAGCGGCCGCTTAAAGAGATCTCAGAAGTAGATCTGTGATGTCTACTTCCGCGGGCCGGTCTCTAACAACGGGGGTCATGTGCTGCTCCGCAAAGAGGCCAGAATGGCTTGCTTGTCGAACGACAAGATACACGAGATCACAAATGAGACACAATTCCGGGAAATCACTAAGTAAACACCAAGTAACTAACACGTTGTGTATTGATAACCTAGTGCGGCACTGGAAACATATGGGAATGTGCTGAGCTACAGGAGAACAGATGCTCCCCCTGCGAACGACATTTGATAACAGAGACGAATCTTGTAAAAATGAAATTGTTTTAAATGTCTCACTGGAATAATACAAATTGGGCAATGCATAAAACGACTGACCGTGTTTTTTTCCCTGTAATTACTAAACCATACTTGCAACCCTGTATCGGTCCACGTTCCACATTGCTCACAATAACACATGTTGGGGTCAGTGCCGGATTATGCTAGTGTGGGGCCTGAAACATATGCTATAAAGGGGCCCTAAATAAAATAAAAAAACACGTAAATATGAAAACACGTAAATTTATAACTAGCATAGTAAAGTAAGTGTATTTTTTCATTTGCTATACAGCCAGATACTACGACAAATCGCTCACCTTAAACTCCCAGTCGTTCATAAAAGTCGAAGGCAGTATAGTACTATAGTAATAGAGCAAGTACAGAATCACTGAACCGGAGTTGATAGCTTGAAAGCATTTAGCGCGGGGCCCTTGAAAGTGCGGGGCCCGTAGCTACTACATATGTAGTAGCTGCTTTTGTTACGAGAATAATCCAGCACTGCGTTGGAGTGCAGTAAAAACTAAGCCAGCCGTTGACTCGCAAATGTACAAAGTGCGAGACGAGGCAGAGTGCTTGCGTTTTTCATTCATCCAGAGTTTCTCTGCACCACTTTGATCCCCCCTCTATCTAGCCACGACTAAAACTTGGCTACTCAACGGTCGAGTTAGGAGGTTCCTCCACGTGGAATAAATATTACGTAAGTTCGGATGACATGTTTTTGCCCACTGCGCCCTCCACAATCCCAAATGTTTTGCAAAGAATACACTTAGACCGCTTCCCCGTTAATCAAGTTCGCTCACTCGCTCGGGCTCCGTTGCGGTATTTACGGCTTGCCACGTCAAATTAAACCATGGCAAGGCGACAGTTGCATGGATCGGAGAGCCAAGAACCGAGTTTAAAAGATGTGTGTGGCTTTTGTCGGCCGCTCGTG